TGAGACTCTGTCTCTACTAAAAATAGAAAAACTAGCCAGGTGTTGCAGCCAGCTGCCTGTAGTCTCAGCTACTGAGGAGGCTGAGGCAGGAGGATCACTTGAGCCCAGAGTTTGAGGTTGCTGTGAGCTAGGCTGATGCCACAGTACTCTAGCTTGGGAAACAGAGTAAAGCTTTGTTTCAAAAGAAAAGTAGAATTGTAGCATAAGTTATTGTTTATTAACTGAATTTAGCTATTTAATTATCCTCATATCATATGTTTTATCTCATCTAATCCACATAATAATGTATTGTTTCCCAAGGAAAATATTTTATTTTTTAAGATTTTGTGCACCATTTTTTATATTTTTATTACCTTCATCCACTTTTTAATTTAATTTAAATGTTTGCTTTTTCCTAGACATTGCCACTTGGGGACTTTTGTTTGGTCCTTCTTATTTCTTTAGATGGTGTTGATTTTGTACCTTAAAATCGTTATGATTTATTTAATTGCAAGATCTTCTTTTTTTCAAAATGAAAAGTTTTTTAAATTATAGAAGTAATATATAAACCCATTATAAAAATCTCTAGATCATATGAAAGTGTGTCAAATTACAATGGAATTTGGATGCTAACTACCCAGAGTTAGTTCACAGTGAAAGGCACAGTCTACAATAGGACTACTCTCACTAAGTGCTAGCTGGCCTGCTTCAGGAGTTGAAGACCAGCCTGAGCAAGAGTGAGACCTCATCTCTAAAAGTAGCCAGGCATTGTGGCAGGTACCTGTAGTCCCCTGCTATTATTTGGGAGGTACCTGGCCTGAGTCAGGCCAGCCTCACTTCTGAGCAACTGGCTACACATATCGACATCACCAATAGCCCTTCAGGTGCAATAATTCTTTAGCATGACTAACAGAACTCAGAAAAACACTGCATTTTCTTTTATGATTATAATTTTATTATAAAGCATATAAATCAGGACCAGCCAAGAAAAGAGATTCATAGGGTGAAGTCTAAGAAAGTGCCAAACCCAGAACTACCATATCCATGGAATCTAGGGCATGTCCTACTAGGATATCAGTGTTTTCACAAATTGGGAAGCTTACTCAAGCCTCAGAGTCCAGAGTTTTCATAGGGGTATACTGTATTGTATATGATTGATTCAACCATTAAGCACCTTATTGAACTCAACCTCCAGCCTCCTCCACCTCCCTGGAAATCCAGAGATTAGGCCTGTATCTTGTGGCTCAAAACCCCAACATTCTAATAACATGGTTTTTCCAATATGGCCAGCCCCCATCCTGAACCTATCTAGATGCCTTGGAGTCATTCTATCAGCTTAAACTCAGGTGTGGTCCCAGGGTTTGTTGCCATGAATAACAAAAGTAATTCTGTTACTTGGGGATTCAGATGCTCTAGCCTTGGAACCCAGAACAAAGATTAAGCAGATTATTATACAACATAAATTATGTAGTATAAATTATGGGCCAGGTGTAGTGGCTCATACCTATAATCCCAGCACTTTTGGAGGCCGAGGTTTCGAAGATCAGTTAAGCCCAACAGTTTGAGAACAGCCTGCAAAACACAGGCTGCAAAAAAATCCATCTCTGCAAAAAAATAAAAATAGAAAATTAGTCAGGCATGATAGCATGTGCCTAAGTCCTAGCTACTCAGCAGTCTGAGACAGGAGAATTGCTTGAGCCCAGGAGTCTGAGGCTGCAGTAAGCTATGATGACATCACTATGCCAGCCTGAGTGACAGATGAGACTCATTATAGCCAAATTGGCTACCTACACACAGACTTATTAGTCCATGGTAACACCATTCTTCTAGTTGCCTCAAGAGAAAATCTTGGAGTCGGCATTGATGCTTCAATATCTCCCTTGTTGCCTCCATCCAACCTATGCAGAAATCATCTTGAATCTACCATATAAAACAATTAAAAACACATCCAGAATCCACCCACATCTCACCATCTCCCACTGTTACCATCACAATCCTAATCAACATCATTTTTTTGCCTGGGTTACTGCAATAACCTCTTTACTGGTCCTCTTGCTTCTATTTTGTCTCTTTTCAATCTATTTGGGCGGGGGGAAGAAATTTAGTATAGAAATGAATTTATCTAACATCCCCTAATACATCTGTGACAAGAACAGACACTCAGGTGATACAGATAATAGTACATCACAGCTTTGTTCTTTCCAAAGGATAAAATGTCATTCAAGAACAAGGTGAAGGACTTGAAAGAGAAAACTGGTTAGAAAAAGCAGGTACCATCCTTTTGATTAAAAAAAAAAAGCAACAGGTTAGCATTGCAAGAACACATACAGTGGGCCCAGAAATAGTGCTAAGCCTAGGCCTTATGTAATGACATCATGCCACTTATAGCATCTGAAAGAAGCTACAGGGTATTATTCCATTAGAAGAGCAATCTTGTGACAGTGTGAAAACCTTAAAAGTAGTGGTCTTGCTGCAAGTAGCTAATGGGCCAGCGGCTTCAACTTGAGAGTCTCTTTAGAATTTAATGTTTACTTATGAATGATTACTTTGCTAAACAATTTCCCCACTTGTGTTTAGTAGGTTGATGCAGGAGGATCACTTGTGGTCAGGAGACAGAGACCAGCTTTGGGCAAGAGGGAGACCCTGTCTCTACTAAAAAAAAAATATGAAAAAGGAGCTCAGCTTGGTGTCACTTGCCTGTAGTCCAGCTGCTTGGGGAGCTGAGGCAGGAAGATCACTTGAACATGGGAGTTTGAGGTTGCAGTGAACTATGATGACACCACTGCACTGTAACCAGGGCAACAGAAGAAAACTATGTCTAAAAAATTAAATACATAAATAA